TGGCCGATGACTATTCGAAAGCGCTTAAGCAAAGTAATTTACGGCTTAACAGCCCGTTAAAAAAATACAAAACGTATGTATTTTTAAACATACCGAAGTGAAGGTAATAAAAAACATCAAAGTATTCGAAATTACTCTACGGCAGTGTCAATAGTCGCATGTAAATATATCCATAAGACGGCTCTTAACAAAAAGATTACGGGCCCCGTAGCAGGATTGTAATTAAATAATTTTAGAGCCTTTTTAGTATCGTTAAATATTTTTGAGTTTGATTTTTTTTCTTAGAAATAAGAATATATTAAGGAACGCTTCCTCGCTTATTTGAATTATTCCGGATGTTAATTGGGAATAATTCATTAGCACTATGCAAGTCGATTCGAATAGGCAGCTATAGTCCGGTCCCTGTAAACTAGCATGTAAATACTTCATAAGTCGGCTCTCAACAAAAAGATTATGTTATAAATAGGTTAGTCAATGATGGCCATAAAAGTGTAGAGATGAGATGCGAGCGCGGTAGCGATTTAACTTTATTTTCTCTGTACTCTGCCGTATTTTATTGCCAAACATTTATGGCTAGTAAATATAAAGTGCCTGTTTGTCGTTCATTATTAAATCTGATTTATTTTTTTATGAAATAAGCCCCTGGATACTGAGTTACCTATTGTGCAATACTCGTTAGATATAAAAATGTAAATACTCCAATAGAAAGATTAACAGTAGATATGCAACGAAAACTAACGAAAAAAATAAACCCTTATGATTATTTAGGAGTTTCGCGAAAAACGCAAAAATAACTGGAAACAATAACGATAACATCGAGACGGAGTAAACCACGAAACGTAAACACAATATCTGTCGACCGAACATAAAACAACACAAAGAGACTACATCGTTGTATTTCAGTATCATCACAAGAACAGTTCCCCATCTAAAATAAAGAAGTAATTCTGTCTGATGGAAGCTGAAGACAGCCAAGACAGACAGTAGATGAGTGTTTGTAAGATATAGTACGGTGGTCCTCGGTTAAATAACCTTTCAAATACCCCAACTTATACTACTAAACTAAAATAAAGTAACCACAAACATCCTAGTAAATATAGTAGATTATTTCGTAATTGATGTGTTGAATTAGGGGTAAATTAGTATAGTCGATTATTGCGCAAATAGGTGAAGATGTTGGAGTAGAAATTGTTGTAAGATGCCGGACTAATAAGCGGGCGTGAAGCGGGGTGTACGCGGAGGTAAGGAGACAAGCGGACGAACAATGGTTGATAAAAAGGGTACGGGAGAAGGGGGCAACGACGAACAAGGATGAGTGACAGGTCTCATTGTGGCTGGAATTGAGTGACAGCTGAATTGGAAGGCAGGCAGGTGAAAACAACACTTTTCGTCTCGCACGATTCCTCCCCGTTTCTCTCTCTTTGCATACCCGTTTTTTCCGCGTTTCATTGTAAAAAATTAACAAGAATTGTTTGTCGAATTGCTAATAAGAAAAACCCCCTACCTAATGGGCTCTATAGAGCCTCGAGGAAAATCGTAGTAGGATACAAACGCGACGAAATAAAATTAGTGTTTCCCATAAATTTCGCGGACGAAAATCAACATCGTATTCGATCGGGCCCAATCAACTTCGCCCTGCGACGGGAAGTCGTGGAAACTACCCCGCCGGTCGAGCGGGCCCGCAATAATTTCGTTATCGTCGGATACCAGCTCCCTTTATCTCCCGTCCGATGCCCATTAAAAAAAATAGCGGCGACTCCATCGGACTCGACTCCCACGTTAAAACGTCAGTTTCGCTGAAACATTTCGCGTATAAATCACGGAGATATATGTCTCGGTGACCGTTTATGAAGCCCGTTTTTTTTTTCGGAGAGAGCGCGAATCGGAAATCGCGGATAACGGCCGGAGAGTCGGTCTACTTGCTCCCGGTGAATAAGCTCCATTATTTATTACACTGGAAAAAAAATCGGCGGTTTGTGCTTACGTGCAAGACCGAGTATTCTTTACGTTAAATTCGATGTGCTCGCCGTGAAAACGATACACCTGTAGTTGCAGTTATAGAGATTTATAAAATAAGTTACAGTTGGTGGAAAAAGGAAGAAGTAATTTGATGTTTTTGAGTATTTTTTGCAGTGTATATGGGGACGTTCATTTGGCGAAGAATTCCGAATTTATTGGTAGTTGACGTTTGCGAAATCGTATTGTTTTATAGAGGGGTATCAATTTATGGTCGGGTGCTTTTAGTCCGGCCGTATATTTTCTGCCGTTAATAAAGTTGTCAAATTTGGAATTCATGTTGTAAGAAGCAGGTGCGGAGCAACTCGTCCACGAGCCCAATGACAAATATTTAAAAGTATCGAACGCAAATAATTAAATTAGTACTTTATACATATGAAAAGTATAAATATACCGTTACTAGAGATTTTTCAAATCCTCGTTTTAATTAAAGGCGAAATCGAATATCATTAAAAAATGATTAACTAGCATTAAAATAAACTAAGCTATTAGTAAATGCGCAATGAAGTAAATTATTCCCGCAATCACCGATGACTTGTTGCGAATGTTACACACAGAGAGTATCCCGCTGCTTTTGAGCGCAACTTTAAATAAAACAGACTCGAGTTTATTAAATTTGATCGTATTTATTAACATTGTAGCGAATTAACGATTCGCATCGAACAGCATCGCACTCGCTCAACTGCCGCTTTCAATTAAACGAATCCTCGAGCGGCGAAAGAACGCGTCCTAATCCACCCCCTGCACATAAGGGAGCTCGCTCTCGCGCTCGCGGGAAGTTTTCGGTCGACGTCAGCGAATAGGCGAAAGTAAAGAACGACAGCGAACAGGACGAAATCCGCTGAACGTCCGAACTCTCGAGCAATAAATTTCTGTAGACATGTAGCAAATACATAATCAGCATTAGGAGGTCCACCGTCGGCTCGTCGCCCGAAATTAATTCGAATCACGTTAACGAACGTTACTAAATTAGAAACCGGCGAACGACTCTAGCTGTAGCGCCTAGTTTTTCCAGGGCAAAGATGGGATTCGCTGGGTAACCAGTTACTTTCGAACCAACAACTCTAAAACGAAACGTATAATCCTCAAATTATACTCACAAAACAATTCTCTTACTATTAAACAATGTTTAGTAACAAAATAATTTCGCAAACGTTATAATAGTTGGGTTAATTTACGTATATCTCATCTCTATACGTGTATGTAACGTTCCGACTGCGGTCAGTGCTGACACGGTGTAGCTCCGAAACCCACCCCACAAACGCCCCGCTCCGGTGATTTACGTCTTAACCTTATTTTATATAATGTCAACCGGGACGTACTAAAATGTAAATGTGTCAGGGGAAGTTAATTTATAGCTTTCTGAGTGCGGACTCCGCGTTGATCTAACATCTGCAAAAATAGAGCCCCGACTTATCCATCGACCGTTGGCCCGTTTTTATCGGCTACTTTAATCGATAGATTATGTGGTACATTATTGTTGGTAAAATTAATTGCTGGTGGAGATAAAAGCTTAATTATCATGCCGGACCGATTCGCGATTACCCCAATAGCTGAGCTCATATCCTGTGGGAGCGACGCTCGCCCATCATCCGGCCGGTTCCTGTAGACACAAGCACTCTCCAGTGCCCCAACAGTGGTCATAGGTGAGAAATCTTATTTCAACGGACCGCAATCGAAGTCAGACGCGTCTAACGAAGTTATAGCGCCCCGATATTTCTCCCTTTCCGCCTCGTCCTCTTCTTCCTCCGCCTCCTCTTCTTCTTACTCCTTCTCTCGTCGACTCGATCAAACGAACTGATACCATCCCGACGAGGACGTTTCCCGTTCTTCGCCTTTCAAAGCGATTCGTTAAGCGCTCGTTTGTGAAAGGAATTATTTTGGAAATAATCAGGTGTAAAATGCTTTGAGCGCCGCATTTATTTAATTAATTAATTAATTAATTCCGAAGGATCGGAACGAGAGCCGGGCCATTTCGTTATTGGGAGTTTATCGTGAGAATTCGATTTCGTTAATTTAATTGACGTTATAGCGTTTCGAAAAAAAAATTTGGAAAATTAACGGGTGAAAACGTAGCAAAAGGATACGGCGTCGATAACAAAGCGAGTCCGGCGGAGCGTCGGAGAGAGGGTTGAAATTTCCATCGCCCCGTCGGGGTAGTTCGCCTCACCTTTGCTCCGAGTGCTTCGCGTCCGGCATAGTCGCAATCAACCCTCTAGATTTATAGACGTAGCGCGAGTGACATCGCGGGTTCTGCGCCCGTTTAATTATAATACTTTATTGCCCAATAAATCTAACGCCCCGTCCACCCGCCTTGCCCACCCCGCGCCCGCTTTGAAGGATAGCGTTCAATTCTTGGCAACCCCCGACATATTTTATGACCGAATTATGCGTTATTTCTCCGCCGGTATTTTCCTCTTCTCCTTCTTCGACGCCGAGCCCGGCCTGACCCCCTGCGCGGCTCCCTCTTTTCCAAATGTTTTGTTGGACTGCTGAGACGTATTAAATAAAATTGAATCGAGAGGAAAGCGAATTCGTAATGGTTTTTATTGTCTACCAGAGGTCGCCCTTCAAGGATCTAAATTTTGCGCCACCTTAATAGCCTACAAAAAATGTGCTGTGTACATCTAAGGGATAACCTAATTGCTATATAATAACGATGCAAGGTGGAGTAGAAGGTGCAGTTGTAATTTTTTTTACCCATTAAATTGTGAATATTAAAATAATTATTAGTATTTTACGAAATTGACATATTTTTACCTTCTGCATGGATAGCGTTTAGTCTTTAACTGTTTCTGTTTCACTTACCTAGAACAAAAAGAAAATTAATTAGTAATTCATGTTGCTGGATAAATGATTCAAAATAAATAAATTTATATGAAATTATAAAATAACTCTTTTATTATCATTAATTTTTTTATTAAGATGCGCTTGTCGTTGATGAATTGATTCCATCATCTCCAGAGAGACCAGATGTAACATAAATGGGTAGCCCCGTCGTTTCCGTGATGTATTCTCGCTTCCTTTCGGGTACCATACGTAAAATCCCGTACGCAATAAACAAATCAATCGAAGCGTCGCGGCGTAAAAATGTTAGCAAAACGGTCGCGTAATGGAAAATAATGAAGTCGCTCTAAGAACGCGGCTTTGTAGTTGCATCGGAGCATTCCGTCTGTAGGTATCGATTCGCGGCGGATCCTGGACGGTGGAGCGCGGCAGGGCGGACGAGCGGGGAGCCGAATCGGAGTGGCGTGAAATGTTCTGTTCTAGACCTGTCGTTCCAGACATCTCCGAGAGTGACAGCGCTGTCCGAGTGACATTTTCAAACCTTCCGAACTTATCCCCGTTCGCCGTCTCTAGGCCGGCTCTTTTCGAGGTTGCTGTGCGGCACGGGGAAGCGACACGCGAAAATCGTTAAACTCGAAATCTTACTTTATCTGTGAATAACTTCCTGGTAAAAATTAAATGGAATATAATCGTATTTATTTATACAAATAGATGTAGATATCTCAGGGTCTACCAGATGCCTGGAAGCGTTTAATTTTCATCACATTATTCTGCCAAATTTTTTGGATTTTTTTAGTTAATTCTACACTGAACTCATCGATTATAGGTGGAATATAATTTTTACCCTTTAGAAACGGCTTATTATATCATCATTTCATTTCAGCCGTTTTCTATCCACTGAGTAAAAGGCTCTCATTCTGACCATGCACTTCTTCTTGTGCTGTTTGTTACCAGTTTAGTCTAGCCAATTTCTTTATTTCATCTCTGACGATGTCTACCAAAGCTTCTTATTCGCTCCTCCTAAGGTCTCCATCTGATGAAATATTCACTCCCGTTTTCTCTTTCTTTCTTACCAACTCCTCATAATTCTTCATTGAAAACGACAGTTATATTATTAATTTTATCTTCATGTAGTTATATCATAGTGTGTGGTGGTATAAGTAGGTAAATGTAGGATTATATTTTAATATCTCGAATTTTGTGTCGTCACCCCCTGCTAGAACAAACCCTTGTCCGTCCCGCAGATCAATGCGAAGAGCTTAAAAAGAGACGGCGAACACACGGACATGTCACCGTCACCTGCACGTCCCTCTTCAAAGACGATGTACAAAGTTTGCAACTGAAAAACCGACCGGTCGTTCGAAACCCCGTTCCTGCGGAATTTAGCACCGTCATCGGCGAAAAACGCCCCGGCCCCCGGAGACGGGATTTTAATTGTTTGAAAGCCGCAATCAATTGGCGCAGTCGATGCGCGTCTTGCACGTCTTAAGTAAGTCAATTTCCTGGAGATTAGGCGTCCGGGAAAAAAAGCGGGAATTAATCAACCGACAAACGCATCCGCCGACATCCGGCGCGCTCTCGGAAAAACCCCCGTGGGAAACGAACGAACCGACTAGTCCGCTTTCAATTTTTCAGTGCATTTTTTTGAGCGGATCCTGATTGAGTCGCTATTAATGGCTCGGCGAGCGAGCGAGCGAGGCCGGGTTGAATCGGTAAGTGTGTGTATTTGTGTGTGTGTGTGCCCGGAGTCCGGAGTCGAACAAATGATCCGGTGTCAGAGGGTCGCACGCGACTGACGTCCATCATTTAAGCGGATTCGGTCCGCCAATAAATCTATTCAATTCGGGCAATTTTAGAAAATCGCGAATCGATTGCAAATGTTCCTGTTAGATACGATGGAGGGGTGTATAATATTCGAATCGGATTTAACGAATTTGATACCGTAATGCACTAGTATTAGTTCGACTTTCTTGCGCGATCCCCTTAAAGCGTTCGCATTTTTAGGGGTTTCTTTGTTCCCTTTTCCACCGATTTTCTTTGTATGCATTCTCCTTTCGAAAGGCGAGGCGTCTCATTGTTAACCTCGCGTCACGAGGGTTAAAAGGAAAACCAAACTCGGGAAGAAAATTACGATTCGTTAAAAATTCCCTATACCCCGTATATACATCGTCTTAGGTACAATCGTCTATAATTAACCGTTTGACTTACGAGAACAATTACCATCAACACACCCATCTGGTAAACGACATGAGGATTAAAAATTGCCCGGCGTCATTAAAATTGATGGTGCAGGTCCTACGGTGGTGTGTTATCGCAAACACATCGAAGTGATATGATGTTCTCTAGACGTTGCCGTGATTAATAAAGGAATTTTACGAGCGATGTTAAAAGAGGCTAGATAATGTTTCATTTTTTTTTAATATCAAATACGCACTTTGAATAATAACGTCCGTGTATAATTTATCCCACTTCTGATTTTCGAAAAAAAATATTTTGATGAAAGATTTTTATTGAAATGCGTTTATATAAGATTGACTACCTGACTCTCGGACGTTGGTCGTCCGGTCGGGTGTGCAGCCATCGAACAGGTACGAAGAAAGATTGACAGGTTAGATTAATGTTTACCATCGACACTTTTTTTTCGACCGACGACGGCTAAGAACCGATTAATTGATCTCGATGGACTGGAAAACGTCACCGAAATCGGCCCAGCGAGCGTCTAATCGAAGATTCGTGGCGCCTTTTTTTCGTTATAATGGCTCCTTCTTTTGGTAGCTTCTTCGGGAATTTTAAAACTATTATCGTGTTCGATTTTAATTCCCGTTTTTTTTATTACCTACTTACGATATTTTAGTTTATTTACAAGCGTGGAATACTCTGTAACTATACGTTATACGTGACTAGATTAGATCAGACGGAGCGATTTTTTTGCGTTATCGATGTCTTATTGAAAACTTCAGTTATTGTTTCGCTATTGTGCCTGTTTAAAAGAGCATTAATCGAAACATTCTTACACAACTTGTAATAAAACGGAACTGGAAATTCAATACGTCGTTTTATAGTCGTTTTGTTATGGTTCCGAGTCGATATTCGCGCGGAAGATTTATAACAGAATAGGCCTTAAAATGTAGTTGTATATTATTTCATAAAATATTGACGGTAGCTTCATAGCCCTCACGACTAATGGCCATAATGAATAATAAATCACATTTTATGTTACTGCCGTGTATCGTTTTACTATCGGAATGACTCGAATTTTTATATAATTAACGCTAAATTACGGTCGTATTCGTCGTTTAAAAATAATCGTAAATTAAAAATATACAGAAAAAAAAATTAATACGCGCATTTCCCAAATCGAATCGACGCACTAAAACTGAATAACGCCAATCAGATATAAACCAGATTAAATACGAAAAATATTGTCAAATCGACAAAAAATTCAATATACATTACGCTTGTATATCCCACCGAAAAATCCACCTGTACAACGAAATTACCGAAGCAATCGAAGACACACCCGTCAGTCACCCAACTCAGGATTAATTTCAACGTTTCCTGCTGAAAAGGAACGAGAGAAAAAAATATATATCACCGATGCAGCGGCATTAGGAGCAGACCCCATCACGTCAGTCCTGCTGCCTTTTAATTTTAAATTCAACAGTTTTGCATGTCACGAGTCCGAAGGAGTGACGAAGGTTCGCGTCCGCATACGAAAGAACGAGAGAAGAGACTCGCAAAAAATGTAGCAATAAGATTTATAGAGCAATGGACTCGATGATCAAGTGAGCTGGCATTCTCGGCGCGGCTGACTCGGATTCGAAGTTAATTTCAGTCAACGTTGACTGACACATGGCGAATTCAGAATTTTATTATCTGGACAGAAAGGCATACGGAATGGGAAAATCGAAGATGCGCGCTCGAATATACATGCATATATATCGTACAGTTTGTCCTAAATTTTTTTGTTCGGCGCGGTAAATTGAGATTGATTAAAATAATGAAGTAAAAAAAATAGGAAAGATGTTTGAGCGATTCCGATGACAGTTAGACATAAATTTTACTTGTTTAATGACACTTTTTTTTCGTAACACATTTACTAAACAGTTGTACAAGATTTATGGACGTGACTAATTTTTAAATTGGCATTTCCATATGGCTGAATTATTCCTCGTATCGATAAATATAAATCAAGCTATAAATATTCATTAATTATGTCTTATGTCTTGGTAAAGGAATATCTCTTGAAAATGATGTTTGTTTAACTAGTATAAAAGTTTTAAGGAATTTTATGATGAAAGGAAACTAGTTTTTTAATTGTATCTATTCGAATTTGATACGAAAAAACACATACATAACTAAGTAATTAAATTCGTTTATTATCTCAATTAATCGATAAATTATACTCAAATATCTCTATAATAAAATAATGATCAACTGGGAATTTTTCTATTGAGAAATTGTCAATTTGTAAATAACTTAATAACAAAGTGTTAAAAAAATAGGTAATTAATGAGCAAAATAGATACAATTAAAAAATATTATTTGGGTAAATATTGGGATGAGGTAATTTAAATAAATTTAAATATTGTGTATTTTGTATTTAAACCAAAATAATGCATTAAAGTGATGTAGAGTAATTTTGACAGGTGATTTATGAACATGTGTTCATTAAGGAAAATGTTTGTATTTCTGATAAAATTTATTTTGAGCGAATATGTATAGTTCTAATACTAAACGTTCAACTTTTGGTGGTGGAATTTTTCAAATTTTGGTGGATGTAATTTTTGAAAAAAAAACCCAACGTGAAAAAATATAATTTTTGATCACCTGTTGAGTTTTTAATACACATAAAAAGTACAAAAAAAACAATTAATAGAAGAATCCTCACCAAAAATCGTGTTGATTTTCCTAATAAAAATATTCACAGGTACACTTTTGCTTCTCATTATCGCTGCCTACGCGGACATACCGTCACAACAGCACATAATCACCGAAAACCCCCCGATCGACGATCGCTGAAACTGTACCTTCAGGTCTGAACTCCTCGCTCGACGATCGTGCGGGCGTTCCACGCGCACCGGGTCTGACAGAGCGCCGTCTCGCGTACAACTCTCGACCACGTACCGAACCGAACTGAACTCTGTTTACATCGCTTCCAGCCCTTAGAGCGCTCCACCCCCTCCCCTTCGGCCCTGCGAAAGGGCAGCGAAAAGTCAGGATGTGAGTGGTTGTGACGTTGACGTTATCCCTACCACCTAACCGGGCGCATCTTTTCGCTCCGAGCCCGAGACGACGGCGACGACGACGACGACGACGGCGACGGCGGTGTGTCAGGTCCAGCGTTGATGAACCTGATTCTCGATATGAATCTGAATATGAATGAATTTGTCGAAAACACGACCGGCTCGATTCGAGTGGGGCCCGTTTGTTTTTCTATTTTCGCCTCCACTACTTCGCTATATACCCGCGTGAACCTAGCACCCCCACCATCAAAAAAAATAAAAAATTATACATCATAATTTAGTGCTATTTTAGTGCTAATTTAGTGCCCACTTCCTAATTTTAGTGTTCGTCTGGTTGAGCAGAAAATTGCGATTGAAAATGGCGGTGCTAAGTTTATAAAGCTAGCACCCCCACATTTAAATATTTAAACCAAATTAAAAAATAATATATCGGAATTTAGTGCTATTTTAGTGCTTTCGAATGCACTACTCAGAATTTAATTTAAAGTATTAATCTTAAAGATATTTGATAAAAACCTATTGGAGTCAATAGAAAAACAGATAGTAAAAACATAGAAAAAATACATTTAAACATAGTAATAGGGAAACGATTTTGATCTCTAATGTTTCAATGATTTTAGTGCTTTTAAAGTAGTTAATGCCAAATTTTAGTGCTCAACCCTTAAACCCAAAAAATCATATTTTTACTATTTTGTAGTCTGACCTCCAAGAGTAGAAATGTGATTTTTTGGGTTTAAGGGGTGAGCACTAAAATCTAACTTTAGCTATCTTAAAAGCACTAAAATGAACAAAGAATATGAAACAAAAATCATTTTTCTATCTATATTTTTAATGATAGTTTACTCTTGGATGTCAGACTACAAAATAGTAAAAATGTGATTTTTTGGGTTTAAGGGTTGAGCACTAAAATCTGACATTAACTACTTTAAAAGCACTAAAATCATTGAAAATTTTAGAGAACAAAATCGTTTTCCTATTACTATGTTTAAATGTATTTTTTCTATGTTTATCTGTTTTTCTTTGACTTCAATACGTTTTTATCAAATATCTTTAAGATTAATTACCTTAAATGAAATTCTGAGTAGTGCATTCGAAAACACTAAAATAGCACTAAATTCCGATATATTATTTTTTAATTTTGTTTAAATATTTAAATGTGGGGTGCTAGCTTTATAAACTTAGCACCGCCATTTTCAATCGCAATTTTCTGCTCAACCAGACGAGCACTAAAATTAGGAAGTGGGCACCAAATTAGCACTAAAATAGCACTAAATTATGATGTATGATTTTTTATTTTTTTTGATGGTGGGAGTGCTAGGTTCACTTCACTTCACTTCACTAGCGGGTTACTTCGCTGCTGTAGCACTATTATCGATTCGAATTAGCGCCCATTAAAGACATACCTTCAACATCAATAATTTCTTTTTTATGCATAAATCAACCATATGTTTATTAACGATTAGTAGTAAGCTAATCAAGTAATTTAATAAGCTAATAGTGCAACGTCCTTCTGGGTGTTTAAATAAACTTTAACACCGTTTGGGAGCGTAGAAATCAACGTTGGTGCGTGCTCGATGGCTTCGCATGTCGTAAATCAGTCGGATTAATTCGGTAAAATTTTTGGAAATGTGCGCGACTATTTTGAGTTATGTGATTTTTTGGCGTGACCCCGTCGATCGCGGATATAGAAACGTAGAAATTAACGAGTTTCTTGTCGTTGCTTTTTCTTTGTATAGGAATTTTGATTTCGCAACTCCGGCGATTTATAGGCCGAGTCGCGTAGACGAATTGAAATCGAGAAGGCGAACGAATATTATAGGAAAAAGTTACAGTTAGCAAGGTAATTTAGATAAAACGATTTTAGATAATTTACATGAATTACAAAAGCCTGAATACTTCGATAGGGAGTCAACGTGTTAATAAATTTAGGTTTATTTATGAGTCGTCGATAATTTAGTAGTTATCTTGTCCTAGAAGAATTTTAAAAACCCACTAAATTTGAATTCAATCGCATGCATAGAGACATGTTAAATTAAACAATAAAATTAATATATTTACAGTTGTGACATTAATCAAATTTATCAAAAATTTCAACAATAAACCCGACGTTACATAACAGCAGATCATAAGTATTAAGTTATAGGTACTTATCCACCATCGCACATTAAAAACACTTAATAATTACAACCGTATTGCTGGAAGTGTCGCTATTCGGTCGACATTTCAAGTGCGAGCGGGTACTGAAACTGAAAACAATTTTGATTTACGAAGCCAATTTTCGCGAACATAAACAATCGAGTACGATGCGGTATGTCGTACATACATGCGATTTTTATGTACCGAGGCCTTTGATGTTCCGCGTTTACGGCGCTTTTATGACGGATGGGTCTAATTCGAACGTCGATCGCATAGTTTCGCGCATTAGTGAGCGCGACGTATTCGCTTTTAAGTTAACGCAACGTTTACTCTTAATAATAGACTAAATGGGATAATGTAATTTATTAATACAATTAAAAAATTAAGCGATAAGTGCGACCGTCGTGGATAAAATAATGTAAGTTACGTGTGCTGTTAAGAAACGGAATCTTTTTTCGAATTGTAAGTCATGTAAATTAGGTCAAATACTTCGCAATTTATTACAATTGTAAATGTCATTCTGATGTTATCTTCCAATAAATTCGAGGCATTACAGCGCACATAACTTTTCAGTAAATAGAACTGTTTACTAAAAATACACGCTCTAAAAATATAATAAATTGATTACCTATTTGCGATAGAAGTACACTCAGATATAACCAGAAATTTATTCATGAATCCAACAATTACCGACGAGTAATACTCCGATAACATTATGCAACGAACCTTCGAATTATTCACCTTAGGAATATTAACATACACTCCCTCGGAGTTTTAGACAAACTTCGCCGATTCTCACCCCTTCATCTCGCCGTCAATGTTCCTCCGAAGAGTTTCCCAAACTTTCGGTCGATGCAAATTTCGCGCAATAAAGAAGCGGGGAGATCGTCTAATAATAAAAATACGAAACATTTGCGAATTTCATTCCGCTGCAATTGTTGGCGTCGTGCCGAATCCGGGACGGAACCGGCGCCCAACCCGCGGGCTCGATTAATTAGTTCTTCGACTATATTCGGATTCACCTAGGATAAATCGTTCATCGAGAACCCATTCGTCTCGCAATAGCTTCACAATGACACCGCCGTTTTTTTTGCCAATTTCTCACGGACAACCGGCCAGATTCAAATGCGAAAATTTTAACTGGGATGCGGCTTGGAAGTGATATAAAATTCGGCGAGGAAGTTACGGTCGGGGAAGACACCCAGAACACAAGACGCTTGCCGTTGACAGTTTATATCAGGCGAGACGCGGAGCATATATAACAAACTGCAATCTGTACAAGACGCAATGGCAACTCGGCGAAACGGACAAAAATGCCAAGAGCGAGTCGCAACAATGCCAGCGTAATTGCCGCCGTAAAAATCACAATTCCGAATATATATACAATTCGTAATTTCGTAAGTTTTAATACGATTTTATGCAGCGAAGGATTCTTATTATCTTTTAAACGTTAAAACCAACTGCATCATCTCGGCTCGCTTCCATCATTTTCCGCCTTTAAACGCCACCAACAAAAACGACGATCATCGGCTCGTCTTTTTCGTACGGAATATTATGAAATTAAACTGGCTGGTCGTTATTAAACGTAATTACAATGTCGAAGTGCACTTATAATTTAGTTGCGAGCCAACCGAACGAGAAGCGACGTTAAAGAAACTTAAATAACATGTCAATCACATAGAAGGAAATGTGGAAGGGAAGCGACAGCAAAGAAGCCAAAAGTAAGGTGCATGTATACCACAAACGATAAAAATTTTCATATTTATCATCTTCATTAACTTCATCACAAGATAAGTGGAAGTTTGTACGCAATAGGATCTAAGGGTGCAACAAACTTGGATTTTAATTTTCGTAATTTTCATCATCTGTTACTCAAACATCACCTTTATCTTCTTCCAATGTTTATCTTTTTGATAGTTTTGTGTTATTCCTTGAAGGTATCTTGATCCTGCGAGTATTGCTCTTTAACAACGCGGGATTCTTGAAAGATAAACATTTGGAAACGTTTCCAGAACCACGGGAATCGGAATTGAGTACAATTCTAATAAATTCCAGCAAAAAGACGGAATTTATAGCAGTCCAAGTCTTTTTTAAGTCGAAACGCCAATAAATAATAGTGAAATGTGGTCCTCGTTCACTTCACGTCGAGACGCAGACCGTCCTGATCGATACTCCCGCCGCATATCTTAGGATTTTTTTGGAAGAAATTCTGTTACTGGTAAATAATTAGTCGTCTCGCCTACGTAAATCGCGGTAATATCGTTGAAAATAATTAAACACCGTGTTTACAGTAACTGGTACGTGTCCATCTCTAGTGGAATCGACACGGGTCACGGTGATGTTTCGCCATGCGATCTGTCCATATATCAAAACCCACGCCGGGGCACGTCGAAATGTCGTGGAAAGAAAACTCGATCCTCGCGGAGACGACGCGGACAAGACATCTGTCAAACGTCTCTCGGGTGACCGGCCAACGCCATATTGCCGCAAATTAATTATCCGGTTTTACGTTTTATTAACGACGATCCCCGGTTGAAGAATTAACGTCGATGCAATCAGGTATAAAACGTCTGATGATTTCACGTTTGGAAGGAATGCCAATTTAACCAGTTTCTACCAGTTGCAGCGCTTTTGTGACTTTTAGTGATCCGCGTT